TCACCTCATTTGACCTGGCACGGATTTTAACGTGGTTTCAAACAAATACAATCTGAAACAGTTCGCCAGTTGCGCCGAATGTCATTTATCGCGTCGTGGTGACATGGATGGCCATCACATGGTAGATAGGGAAATGTTTGACCGCATTAGCCGTTTTACCTTGCCGTGTCTGAGACCAAATGCAGTGAGTCTAATTTAAACTCGATTAAAATAGTGTCGAGCAATTATGTTTACGTGTATCCGATGTGTATAACGCAAATTTCTCCGTTGCATAGGAATACAGTGCATGCCTGATCCCAACGACCTCGAGATCACAGATTTACCAAATAATAAGGATGGCCTGAGGTTTGACCCAATGGATGGCCTCAAGGGATGACCTGACTGTCGGACGGCTTAGACAATGATCACTGCCTCGGTCGTTTCCTCTGTTGCCCTAACATGCAAATTTTGACAACTACTGGTGGTGTGGCTATATAATGGGCCCTGCCATGAGCATTTCGGAAGTGTGATGTTTCCGTGACCTGGGTGTTCACTCATTTGACCCAGACCCCAAAGCCCGTGCATTTCCAGAATTTGAAGGCAGCAAAGAAGTTGCTGGTGCTTGTAGAAGCGCACGTTCTTAAATAGTTGAAATTATATTGGTGGGAGCAGTCTGCCATAATTTCATTGAAATGAAAATTATGAGGTTATTAGTGTGACCTGGGAGGCTATAAGTGTTGTGTCCCCCCACCCCCCCCCCCCCCCCCACCCCAACACATCAGGTGAGGAGGTGAAATAACCCGTGGGCAGAGGTCTGCTTCCTGGCGTCGGGAAGGCTGGTCTTACGTGACTAGACAATCCAGATTTACTTGGCTTATGTAGCAGCCATAGTTCATGACCTCGACTACGATGCATATCAACTGCAAATCGAGTTGAGAGATGTGGAATAGAGAACGCATAAATGGGATCAGGAAGTAATTTAGCGGTTAATGAGTTTGTTTTGGCCTTGTGATCGTCTCATAAAAATATAGTTTTGGTCGTTGTGTTTCAGCACAAGGCTGCCTGTGGTTGGTTCTGTCCCTTGCTGTCCGCAAGACTCTGTCGGTATAACCATCCAGAGATCTTGTGTGAGCAGACCTTTCAGATGATCTGTTGTTAGCAGACACAAATTGCCCTGACCTAGAATATACCAGGAGGGCTTGTGTATCATTAACTGGAAAATGGTGAATCGGTTGTTGACCCTCGCTCGGATAGCCTGGTGCCAACTTCGCCGGTCCTGGGAGGAATCCGCGAACCGTCTTCTGTATGCTAATGTCATTTGGGCAAATTGAGTTTGGCAACTTGAATGAACCTTTGAGTTTTGAATTCCTACCGCGTCAGGTCACCCAGACATGCTATTGGTTTCTATTTTAGTCCTCCCTTCGGCTATGACCATACCTTCAAACTGCCTGGAGCCTAGTTGTGGGAGCAGTATTTATTACAGAATGTGATTGATTTGCGCGCGAGTCTTTAAGCGGCTGACGAAGTTTTCATGAAACGCAAGCGATCTTTGTGCTTGAAAGAGCGACACGCCCTCACGTGACTGGGCGTTACCGAACGCTTTCTGGTAGTATCACAAAGTCACAACTCCACTTAGACACGAATAAATGCTTTTTTGTCGGAAGTTGGCCTTATTTTTGGCAAGTTATGCCCCACTGCAGTTGTTTCATTTTACATCGATGCTGGGCACGAAGGCTTTTCGCGCGGTGCTGCATAAGCAAGCGGTTCATTGCTGAACATGAGATGCTTAAAAACATTACCAAGGCAGAGAGGAACCTCGGGGTGAAATCAGTAACCTGGAAAAACTTCGCTGAGTTTGTGCTCAAGTAATGCAGCTTGTAAAGGCGAAGTCGCTCAGGCGTGTCAAAGTGCTAAACAAGGAAGCAACTGCTTCTAGAATATCTGCCTGCAGCCTATACCGCCCACGTCAAACTTCGATCCAGCTCTCTGAAGTCTGCCATGCGGCCATTCTGCACCCGGCCTCCGTCTGCATCAAGGGCAAGCATATCATGGCTAAAATATACGCTTGCAAAAGCTGTCCAAATGCCTCATGTAACATAAAGTATCGGGACTTGTTGGTGCTCAAGAGATAATAGGACAGAACTGAAGCAAGAAGCACCACTACAGGCATTGTACATTTTTGAAAATTACGCATCTAGCTATGTGAATGCTGGACTGAAAAAAATGTGTAACATATGGAACATGCAACAATCATCATAACCTGTAGGTCGATGGCCTGCAAGTTTTCTGCGCCATGTGGTTACATATCAAGACATGTGCTGCGGTGAGCATTTAGTATCACGTCACAACTTACCAGACTTGGGCCGTTGAAGAGCATTGCCGTAATGATTTGTACAGAAGAAGGCATAATACAGACATAATTTGGACATTGGTTACTGGGAACTATTATGTAGACTTAACAGTATCTAAGACTTCATATTTTTGAAAGCTGTGTTCGCATTGCCTTGAAGTGCTTAAGCGTGAAATGTGATCATGCTCAGTAAAGGGTGATGTTTTATGTACATATGAAATGAGGCTGTAAATCACATCCAACATTGTCAACCATGTCGTTTAGTTAAAGCGTTGCTGACGCTCTGCATGCATACTGGCACCGAGATGTACACCAGGCTCATTCACATCTGTCACTCAGATTTCAGTGGAGGAAAAGGTGATTGCGTTGCTTACATTATTGTGCACTTCCAGTGTCCATTTTTCCCTCAATACGCATTGAGAATTGACGTAGCATGATTATTTTTAACTTAAACCGTTTCCGTTCCATTTCAAACCGTGACGTCAAGCATGATGTATCTGACGCTCCCAGCACGAGCGTCCGCCTTCGCCGCTCATCATACCGGCCGACCCCACTTCATCACTCCCAGCACGAGCGTCCGCCTTCGCCGCTCATCATACCCGCCGACCCCACTTCATCACCCCCACCCGAGGGCGGGCGGCGATTGCTCCGGCTTGATACCAAATGATTTAACTGCTGTTGAGCACCATATGGTCAGAGCTCGCCTCTGTTGAGCGGTTTCCTATGTGTCCGTAATTGTCACTTAGACCCCGCTTTTGCCAGTTGCAGTGCGAAGTGCTAAGACAAGACCATGGCTAAGCAGTTCGCTGTAGCATATCTTACCTCACATGAGCAGAGCTTCGCTCAAGACTTTACCAAAGGGCTTGCACTTAGAAGGTCGCTCACCTACCTGGCAACTTGGTGCCCTGGTCATGTGGTAAAGTGTCTGTTGGCAATAGCCCCGGGTCGCTTTGGTGAAATAACACAGCACATACTCATACATGTGGTGCCCGTATACACACGTACTCGTAGACGTGATTATAACATTATTTGACTCGTGTGTACCAAAATACACTCCACTCTTAAAGGCTCCAAGTTGACAATGGCTTCGTCCGTAATTCACATAACCATCGTATTCATTTGAAATGTTCGTGTTTGCTTTTAACTTGATACTACACAAGGTAATTAAGGCATTGTGACGCTTAACTTATGCGAGGTTCCATGATATATGTGCATTCTGACCCCCTGCCGATAAGACACTTGCTCTGCCTGGTAAATGAATTATCAGCCACAATTCCTGTCTGGAAACGTGCTATTCTTAATGTGTTTTGCTTACTTGTTCACTTAACGTTTTGCCTTAAACATGTTGGCTCCCGCAAAAGTATGTGCGGCGCAGTTTTGCGAAAATTTCTCGCCCCCGACAGCCTGGTGTCTCTAGCCTTCAATAAACCGAGAAGCCTTTGGACTTTGGACGGATCAAATGTAGCCGGCTGCTGGCCAGAAAGCTGCGTGTCTAGTCCTAAAGCATGGCTGATAATCTCTATAACCTATCATTTCGGTATCCGAAGAGGCACCAGCAAATGACTATAGGTTTGCTCTAGAAGTGGCCTGATGCATTTTTGTTTTGTGCCCCACTAGAGCTTATGATGCTTGATGCAATTAATGTCATCGTTAATTGCACAGGCACACTATATATGTGCGCGGGACATGCTTTATTTTTTCAGCGAACCTTGCGAGATAGTCTTGACTACGCCCTTGCTATCAGGCTGCCCAGATGGCGCTGGTGCACTTGCAGATAGAGTTACAGGAAATAAGGTTTCGGTCGAGGTCAAAGACTATCCCCATTCCTTTCCCATCCTCGGGCCCGGTGAATCAGAGAACCGCTCCGGAGACTTGAAGCGAGGCCGCACAGTCAGGATATATCCCTCGACCGTATATCCCCGGGTCCGGACTGGACCGGCCCGGACCAGACCGGACCGGGACCTATATCCTCGGACCGGAGTATAGTTGAAAGCGGACCGTATCCGCGAGCCTCCCGCCGCGGGCGCTGGTCCGGCGTTAGTAACTCAGGGCGGCGATCGGCATGCTCTGTTTCTGATAGCTTCGGTGTGGTGTCAGCGGTATCATGGATTCATCATTCATCATTCAATCTGTTGAGCGCCTGTATCAGAGATTGTGCTGCTGAGCGACTCGTTTCATATGCGACACGAGATGACCGACTGATTCTGAGGCTTCACATTTGCTATCAGGCTCAGGCTATTTCACATTTGGCGTTACCATCTAACATTTTCCACTGTATCGCTTCATTTGGGGAGAGTAGGCTTCACAGCTGTGGTCTCGTTTAATTCAACCTAAAAGGTAAACAGAAAGGGAAAACATCCGAATTACGCGCCGAGCCGCTGACTTGGTCGGTCGCCCCGTTTTCGTTGTTAACTTGGTCCCCGAAGCTACCGGGTGTGGAAGTGGCGGAGTTCTTACCAACCGCGCATGATGGAGGAGGTGGCGAAATGACCGCACTTGGCGGTCGCTAACATGGTCGCGGTTCCGCCCCGGAGTGATGCCAGGAATGATCACCCCTAATAATGCCACTCTTCCAAGACTTTTTGACACGAAGTGAATTAAATATGTTGGAGTATAAGCGCGTGCGGGTGCGTGTCATTTAGGATTATTAAAGGTATGTGTCTGTTTTCAGGACGAGAAAAATCAAGTGCTAACAACAAACGTATGGCTTGATCAGGTACGTGATGATGAAAAAAGGTGTAAATGGGAAAAATAAACCAGACCTTTGTTAGAATGTTGCGTCACTGTTTGTGGTACTCTCTGCAACATTGTTTAACACATTGTGGTGTGTGCATGCATATTCCTCTATACAGATACAAATGTAGACCCTGCCTGACATAATACATTGACAGATACAACTAGAGTATAACATTCAAATGAATGCTCGCGCACAGCGGAGTGAGGGTTAGGTATTTATAGTAAAAACCTTCTGGTATAGGTATATTTACCTAAATATTGCCGGATACCACAGAGAAAATTCAGAAGAAAGGAATCTAGGTGTAATTTTCGACACGAGGCACACTCGAATGGAGCTGCAGTCGATTGTCAGCATTTTGGTATCCTTGTTTGCAGACGGAACTTATGGTAGGGGAATTCATCAGAATAATCCTAGATTTTTAAAGTGTTAAAACTTCGAGAAGAGGCTCGCCATCTTACGTTTCAGACTCTCAGGGCGCAAGACCCAAAATGTGGGCAAAATGATTGTTGAATTCGGAGCAGCAAGTGGCCTAGCAAGCAAAAATGCATGTAGTGAGAGAACCTCCAAAAAGAGGGCTGGACCGCCTTCAAGGGAAACTCATTAGTTTGGAAATGCCTTTTCCTGCAGTCAAGTGAACCTAAAAGAGGTCACCAGAAGAACTGAGCTGAAATGAATTCATGCAAGAAAGCCCCTTGCTAGACCTTTCGTTTTCTCTATACGAGGACGTTCACTTGCATGCAACACACTTGTCACGTTTTGTCAATGTTATACACGCACGTTTGTATGCATAGTTATGTGAATGTGTGTGAGTGTGTGTGTGTGTGTGTGTGTGGCGGTGTGTGTGTGTGGGGGGGGGGGGTGTGGGGGGATGTTTGTAGGTGTGGGTCAGGATGTTGGTGTGGGTATGTATGTAGCATTTTGACATGGCTTTTGTGTGGTTTTGTTCTTCGAAGACAGAAATTGCTCAGAATCTCCTGTTTGTATATTCTACGACATCGCCCGGTCGCGTTCTGTGTTAAAAACGTGGAACCGTTTTTTATGGGCCTTCTGCATTTTCTGTTCCCGTAGTTTATATTACTCCTGTGACACCCTTTTGTGTGTTTTGTTCCGCGTTCCTCATATCCGAGTTCAGACACCGTAAAGCATGTTTGGTCCCGTGAAGCGCGGTAGTGGTGCAGAGAACAATTTTAAAGCCGGGATTTGTTGTTTAACGTGGCTGTCATGTCGGCTCTGGCTTTGGTACGACTTACCATGAGTTTGCCCACGTTACAGGAGTGGACAGATGAATTGCTAACGTGGGATCCAAAGCAATTTGGTGGGATGATGGAGCTACGAGTCCCATGCGAGAAAATCTGGCTACCGGATATCGTCCTCTACAACAAGTAAGCCCCCAACTTAAATGCATTGCTGAAGGTCTGGTGACTGTGTTAATATGCGAGCATAGCTGCCTGGAGGGAGTGCAAGATGGGTCTTAAATGAGCTTTATCTGACATGAGTCGATTAACTGATGCCATGTTCTGTCCGATCTGGGAGACTTTTGTAATGCTATCCTCACCCACTGCTCGTCTTCATTTATGAGCCTAGTTCACTGTTATACGCGCATTCATGGAAATGAGGTGTCGGCCTTTTAAGTTGGGAGTTCGTAGATTGACATTAAATGACCTTCAATGTACTGGGGATGCGGGTTAGTCGTCGTTATGCTGGTTGCTCGTCAATGCCGGTGAGTCGTCCCAATCCAGCAATGGTTATACCCTGTGGAACTATGTGTATATGTAGATGTTTTTATGCAGTATGTAACGCAACAGCTTGACGCTTCCAAGCTCTGCTCGTGGTCACAACTTAGCAAGGTTAAGGAAACACAATTGATGTTGAAAATATGCGTTACATACGGTTTCTAATCAGCAGCAGAAACACAAATACTTTATATTCCGCAAGTTTATATGACAATATCTTTATTATCCTCAAGTTTATATGGCAATGTCTTCTTATTGGCAGTGTCTGCACAGGTCCCGTGAACTTTTCTAGCTGATGCGTCTTCACTTTTTTAATGCAACGTTTTTGGTCAGGCTCGTGACCATCATTACAGCTGCGAATCGTCGAAATTTTATCACTGTTACTAACGATTGCTAGTTAACGTCGTGTAAGTAGTACAGCATGGCATATTAAAGATCGCTTATTCCCATAAAAAGAACTGTTAACTCACAATGCTGCAAAACTACAAGCCGGTTGTGCTCATATCAAGCATTGATTTGCACTTACAAGTGTTTAAGACAACTGGGATTCGAAGTGCGTGCGTGATGGTCTAACAAACACAAAGTCCCGTTGCACGTTTGTTGACGCAATGTATCCAATTCCTGGAAAGTCAAAGTATCGCTAGTTCACGCTCCAATAGTTCCACCACAAACATTTGGCTGGCAGTTGAACTAAAAGTCAGGCTTCGCCATCAATTTTGTTCCACATTACGAACAATCACCACGTCGTCCGCCAGCACAACCATACGCACTGGGTGCGTATTGATACATCTGTATTGATTTTCACCACCACATATAGCTATACGGTGCTAGCCGTTATAGCTCATTTACCGCACGTCCGTACCAATAGCCATTCGCACTGTTATTGCCATGCTGTTCTGCATCGTCATTATTAGCTAGGGGATAGTTCGGCCAACCATACCAAACCCGATGCTTCTGCGTTTGAACTGCTGTGCCTGTTTTGGATTCTGAAGCTCGGCTTTAGAGGGTAAAATGAAGTATTTTTGGTGGGAAAATTGTAGCATCACAGTGCTACTTCCGGTAGTGAAGGCAATTCGGAAAATCTTAAGCACAATTAGTTCACAAATTGAAGATCGTTGTCGGAAGAAAATGTTGCACTGTTCATCGGGTATTGAACAGAGTATCCCATTTTGAGGCCATCATTGAAGTGGGATCGTTCAGTAGAATGAGAACGTGGTATTCGCTGGATGACGAAACGTTTTCTTTTTTGTTTTTGTTTTTGTCATCCGAGCGGTACTAAATCTTAAGGCTTTTCAACATTCCAACTCTTTGTTATCGATATGCTTGACAAAACCTCTTGTATACTAACCTGGTGAATGGGAACCCTACAAAACGAAACGAAGTGCATTTCATCAATTATTGCCATTCATGTTTAGTATTTGAGGCACTCTCCACCACCGCTTTCTTCCATTTATCCTGCTTGTAATTGGTCGAGCGATTCATTCAATAGCTCCCGGCATTTCCTGAAATGGAGCCGCTTGCTAAGCTCCACCGCTCGTGTCCGCGCCGGGCCCGACTTCAAGCTGTGCGTGGCGCCGCTCGGACAGACCGTTCATCATTGTACGCCACGCTAAGACACCCATGCATCAACCACCACTCGGGCGCCGGTGCCATACTGATCAGTGATCTGCGAATGCGGCAGGGCGCTGGAGGCAGTCTGCTGGCAGTGGGCCGCGCCGGCGGCAGGGCGCCGCTGGCAGCTGGCTGACGCCGGCGCCACCACTGGCTCTGCTCCTTGGCATGAGCGCTCGTTGTGATCCGTATGGAGATTCATGGTCGTCATTATGAGCCATACTGCTCGCGTTTCCAACATTTTTATGCTGCTAATCGAGACAACGAGGAGGTATGGCAGCGAATGGACAGAGCCGGCGTATATGAGACCATTTGTCTTGAGTTGGCCGTTGAATCTCCTCCCTCGCCGTCGCTGAAGCAATGACACCAAATAAAGAATCCGCTTAAAATGGCTGCCTGCGCTTGTCGGGCGCAGTTTATCTGATTAGGCACGCTGTCTCGGCCCGGATAGACAGCGCGAGCATCTCGGGAGAACTCCCGTTTGAAGGTGTCTGATTAACATTCGTTCCAACTTTTAAGGGCGAGATGCCGCAGAATTTCAATGGAAACGAATGGCAGTGACCCTGCCAAAAGTAGCGGGCGAATTCGAGAACTGAGTCGACCATTAGAACGCCGACCGAGACGGATTCCTGCACTCGGTCACGGCGAGAACGGCACAGCACAGAGCAGGCGCCACATCGTGCAGAAAATCCACGCAACAGCTGGTAGATGGCCGCCCGGGGTGTAGAGTCAACTGACGGCAGTAGGCAACCACGTGCCGCGGCCACTTTACAGACAGGTCGCCGATGGCGGAGTCCTGGTGGTAATTTTTGCAGGTTATTGATATCGCTGTGCCCTTATTCGATGTTAACATTACTGAGAATCATATTCTCCGAAACGTATTTCCCATATAAGCAACCAAAACTTTAGCAGCGTACCGCGTTGAGCAGCCGGTCAGAGACGAGTTGATAGAGGCGCTTTCCAGGAATGTGATTCGTTTTCGTGATCCGGAGTGAGCGCAAGATAGATAGCACGCGATTAGTCGGGGAATTCAATTTGCTTTTAGTTTGCTTCAATTTGCTTGTAAAACGTTGGGGTCAAGGCTATATAAATAATAAGTTGGGGTCATGGCATGCTTGGCGACACAAATCAATAATATTGGAATGACAGAGACAGATACAGCTAACAAAAAATGCTTGCAGCGAGTCTCATTGATAGCATGAGATAAGTAAAATTGCATAGGTTTGTTCTCTATGCTTTTTATATTCTTATGGTTTCTTAAAGTGCGTTGAGTGGTCATGTATTCTTCTGCCCTAGTTCTCCGTCAAGTTTTGATAATCCCCAACCGGCAGCCACCCGCATTCCGTACTTCAACGTTACCAACGAACCCTTTCGTGAGAGATGAATTGGTTAAAGGGGATGTACTAAGTTTGAAGATACCAAATCAACATCAGCATATGATGAAATGAGTTCACTTATAGCTGTTGGTATACTTTTAAGTGAAAAAGGCTTCTCTAGACAACACAATTTCTCTGTTAAATAAATATGCTCTCCAAAACGTCATTTTGATAACGTCATCGTTCCATGCACAACATCGATTGAGATACAACTGATGGCGATTATATCTGGAGATCCTGTTCACGAACGCCAAATATGACCGACTGGACAATGGCTGTATTATTAGCCTTGATCGCCGAGTGGCTAATGAAACGGCAGGGTTTGAATGACGCTATTATGGCGTCATGGATGCTTGGGTGAGCTTAAAATAGTCTCCTGAAATATGCTACGCGTCTTCCGGTTGGCGTATAGCTGCAAAACCAGGGGGAATTAGGTCTTAAGAAGGGTGCGAATTTGATCTGCACCGAACGATCTTCCAGATGGCTCTTTCAGATCAAAACCGCATGCAAATGTGGAGCACTGCCTTTAATCGCAAGAGTTTTTGTGTGGGTCGTTCGGCGCAGAGACGACACTTTTGGCGTCAGTAACTCGGCCGCCAGCGACGCAGCGTTGACTTGTGCCTCAATAACATGAGTCTGATCTCAGTTTCCACAGGCGTATTGCCATAATTATAGTCAGGGGAGCGGAAAAGTGTCAATTTTTTCGTGTCAAGAAAATTGCAAGTGTCAATTTTTCGGTAGGTACGCACTCGACCTGCCACATCCAGTTTTTTTCGGTGTGGCACACATTCTTGCCATTTTTCCCCACAAGGACTGGTCTGTGACTATGTGCTCTATCCAGGTCATGGTGCATCAGAAATACTGTCATTCGTTCGCGATCCTCCGATGGCGTTTTGTCACTTGTATTCATTCCAGTTCTAGACGTAACTTTGCGCGTTGTCGTCTCTGGCGGTACTGTCTTTTCTAACGAAATGATGTCTCATTTCTTAATTTAAGATATTGAAGAAGAAATTGACAAATGACCTCAATATAATTTTATAACTGATTTGTTTCACTGTTTTTCATTATGATGTTTCACTCCTACGTGGCTCCTGCAACCCACTTTGCGACTCATTTGCATAATGCTGAGCGGCAATTGTCCCCCTTCCCCCGTTTACACATCACATTTCACTTCATCATGGTAAAGCTCTTGCCGCCCTAACGTTTTTGCACAGCCTGAGCGTGCCGGCGTGACGCGCCCGTTTCGTTCCAGCGCGGACGACTACACGCGCGGCTACATGCAGAGCAAGGCGATGGTGCATCACAACGGTCGCGTGTTCTGGCCACCGCCCACCAAGTTTCGCTCCACGTGCGCCGTCGACGTCACCTACTTCCCGTTTGACGATCAGACCTGCATCCTGAAGCTTGGCAGCTGGACGTATAATGGGTTCCAGGTGCGTTCCAGGTCGTATTGTGCTTGCCGACCTAGCGTATCTTGTGAAGGGGAACGAGGCAGACCAGCGAGCCTCGTGAAGGGGAACGGGGCAGACTAGCAAGCCTCGTGAAGGGGACGAGGCGGACCAGTGAGCCTCGTGAAGGGGAATGAGACGGGTTTGCGATGTTCAGTGTGTTTGTTTTTGGGATACATCGCGTGATATGTTACAAAGCTTTTTTACAATGTGTGTCAGTAAAATGGAGTACTTTCGGGAAACGCGGATCAATTCAAAGCTCAGGCGGAGTTTTTTTAAACGTTAGTCTTTAGATTATACAAGATATCGTATATTCACGGATGTGGCAACCAGATCCACTCTCCTTCCCCCGCAATGCATATGTGTGGACATGACCCACCGCCCAAGGATGATTTATTTTGTTGTTACTTAAATTCATGATCTATGCTTTCGTTTCGAGGAATGTCTCAACGGGAAACTCCGCCAAGACTGTTGTCTGCCTCAGCTTCTGACTAGAATGCGCTGATATTAGATCCTTTGTGTGTTTGTATTTAAACCGTTGTCAGAAGCGGCTAAGGGCTCGTTCTAAGTGCCGGAAATTTGCCAAGGTGTGAAGAAATCTTCCGTGATGTCTTCCGAAATAACGTCACTCTGTAAAACACACACTGAATACATAGTTTGCGCTAATGATGCCACTGTGTCGTTCTTTGCTGTCGTTCAATTACACAGTAACGTTACACAGTAACACAGTTTACACAGCACCAGTAATGTAATTGTGGTATGTCGCTAATGGCGAACCCTTATCGGACCCTTATCGTGTATCCTGATTTGTGTTTGTTGCGCTGCGATCGAAGCTTAATTATTTTCTTTGGCACCCATAAAGAAGTAGCGACGGGCTTGGTAGAAATTCAGTTTAAGGCTTCGCAAAATATGGTACGATTTTGTGTCCCACGGCATGCAGTCCAAGCCGTCTTCCGTCGCATCGATCGCTTACAGCCGTTTGCTAAACACGTGATGATAGTTTTCCGCTGAAAAGACGCCCATTTTCTGCCCAACATATGCCGACGGCCTTACGCAAATCTCATTGATCTATGTGCCACCTGCGAATATGCAAATTGGGCTTCGGTTTCCAATAGCTAAAGCGAAAAAGTTGGCGGCAGCCACAGCAGCCTGACGCGTCGCGCCGCGCAGACTGCCTTTGATCGAAACCTTGGCCTCCGAGAAGTTTCCATAGCTGAAAAGCTGACGTCTCCACGCAAAACTTCAAAGCTATTGGAACGGTATTTTCACACGAGCTGCGTCGAGCCCCGTCGGGCCCTCTCGTAGAAAGCCTCGTCGCATGCTTGACGGTTTCAATATGAGTTTGGAAATCGGCAGATTTTCCTTGTATCGCCATGACATCTGGACAGACATTCGCGAAGAGCGGAGCCACGAAGAGCCGTGAGTGGTGATGGTGCGTTTTGTGGCAGGTGGATGTAACGAATCGGACAGAGCAGGTAGACCTCACGAACTACATTCCCAATGGAGAGTGGGAGCTGTTGGAGGCGCGCATCAACCGCAATGTGGTTTACTACAGGTTGGTCCGCTTCATGCCTGGTCACTAGCCAGAGGGATCACAGATCGGAATGTTTACATCGCCACTCAATGCGGGTAGCTACAATTAGTCCCTATCTTGCTCCTTTCAATGGCTACCTTTTCGTTAACATCAATACGCAGCGCTGCAACTATCCGACTGTTCCAAGTCGGCCCAGTTCTTGTTGCGGATCATGTCTTACGCGCTTCCAATCTCGCGCATGATTTGGCAGCATATAGCTGTAACAAGCGCGAGAAAATTGATGTCATGTGCTTGACTTGCTAATGGCCATGAGCTGAAGGACCGTCCTTGCAACCCGTGCACAACAGCAACATTGCTGACTGCTCTGCTCTGCCTCCGTTTCTACGCAGTTGCTGTCCGGAGCCGTTCCCAGATGTGACCATAACCCTCATCATCCGACGCAAGACGCTGTTCTACATGTACAACATCGTGCTGCCCTGCATGATGATGTCGGTGCTGACGCTGCTGGTGTTCTGCATGCCGCCTGAGAGCGGTGAGAAGATCTCGCTCGGCGTCACCGTTCTGCTCGCCTTCAGCGTCTTCATGCTTGCAATCGCCGAGAAGATGCCTGAGACGTCCGACAGCGTACCACTCATAGGTACGTCCAACAGCATGCCGCTCATAGGTACGTCCGACAGCGAGCCGCTCATAGGTTTGTCAGGCCGCGTGCCGCTCATAGGTACGTTCGACAGCAAGCCGCTCATAGGTTTGTCAGGCAGCGTGCCGCTCATAGGTACGTCCGACAGCGAGCCGCTCATAGGTTTGTCAGGCAGCGTGCCGCTCATAGGTACGTCCGACAGCAAGCCGCTCATAGGTTTGTCAGGCAGCGTGCCGCTCATAGGTACGTCCGACAACGAGCCGCTCATAGGTTTGTCAGGCGGCGTGCCGCTCATAGGTACGTCCGACAGCCAGCCGCTCATAGGTTTGCCAGGCAGCGTGCTGTCCAGCAGTGCGTCCAACGGCGCGCCACATGCAACCACGCACGTCCGGCAGCGCGTGCTCAGCATGTGCATTTGACAGAATGCGGCTCCGGAACACGCTGGACAGGGTGGCACTGATGGGATCGCCCAACAATGTGCCACTCGTAGGTACGTCTGACAATGTGCCATTCGTAGGTACGTCTGACAGTGTGTCACTTGTAGGCACGTCTGCGGTATGTCACTTGTGGGCGCGTCCAACAAAATGCCACTCGTAGACACGTCTGACAGTGTGTCACTCGTAGGCACGTCCGGCAACGTGCCGCCTGTAGGCGCGTCTGACGGTGTGTCACTTGTAGGCACGTCCGGCAATACGCCACTCGTAGACACGTCTGACAGTGTATTGCTCGTAGGCTTGCATGGAAATGTGTCACACGTAGGCATTTCTGACAGTGTGTCACTCGTAGTAATGTCTGACAATGTGCCACTGGTAGGCACGTCTGACTGTGACACTCATTACGCCTGGGAGTGCGTCGCTAATAGATACGTCGGGTATTGCGCCGCAGTGAATACATGGCCATCACCTACCAATCTCCTGTGATGTGATGTACTACGGAAAGTGTTTGCGACAGCGTGCCTCTGATAGGTGCGTCCGGGCTCGGACATGTTAGTCATAAGTAGATTTGTCATCGTGGTTCGCATGCGGGAGGAGATTCCAGGCTTTCAGAGGGACAAAAAACCTATCAACGAATGGGATGTGACATCATTCTTTGAGAGCTTGTGGAAGCAATATGCGATAGTTCACTAACACCGGCACATGAGAGGGAAATGTCGCAATTCAGCGAGATGTCAAGGATAGCAGTCGGTGATGGGAGTGACGAAGCAGCGCCTGCCCCACCGGACGGCCTCTGGCCATGATTGGCTCTCGTTTTCCCTCACATCTTGGTCCGGCGTGGAGGCCACCGCACGCCCGGCAGACTCCGGCTGCCGGAGATAGAGGACCCCCCTCCGCTCACCCCCTCCCACCATTCCCATCCCCCCATCCTGTCCTCCACGGGCCAGCGCCGTCAGAGGGCGCGAGGTGATGGATGGCCCGGGAGTGCGGGTCTTGTCTGTGTTTGCCCGAGTCCCGACGACGTACTGACGGAAGTTTTCACCTCATTCTCTCTACACGCGAGAACTGGGCGGGCATCGGCGCTGAAAGTGGACAGCGGGATGTGTTTTACGGCGGCTCCATCTGTAGCAGCCTCGGCGGCGTCACGCAGCATTAGCGGGCGGGCCCGGCCCGGCCAAGAAAAATGATTACGGCTGCCGCAATAGAAACCGTGCCAGCGAGAAAAGCTCTCACGGCTATTGTATTGGTGCGGCAGCATTTATGAGCCCTTCCACCCACTGGAGGAAAAGTTGGGCTTTGTCTGGCTTTGTTTGGTTTCGTCGTTCTCTTTGCAGGCATCGCTATCGGCGTAGTGCAAAAATTCCGATGTTTTGCGCTAGCTGCTCTCCTCCACACGGTTCCGCGCCCAGCTCGTGATGTGCTTAACTGGAATAAACAGAACTTGTGCAGCCGCTGGCTTCAGCTGTATATGGCTGAACCTCCGCCGGGTTTGAATTATGAACTAGCCTATGTCCGTGAACAACGCGTAATGCAATGTCTTACAATATCGTTGTACACTTGCACTGCTATGAAAAATGCACGTGTGCATTAATCCCATAAGAAACTTGAATTATAAACGATTATACTTGCTTAAAATGAGAAAGAAAGGAGCTCAGCCTGTGGTTTCTCGGCATTATGATTTCAATCGTCTTATGAAGAGTTAACGCCCTTCAATATACTAGGAGATGCTGGTTAGACGACGTCGTGGTGCTAAATTACGGTTACGTGAACGGTACTTGATACTTCAAGCTGTGCTCATCCAAAAGGTGAGAGCGATACGCCCCTGAGCATAGGCACAGCTCGAAATATTGAGTACCGTAATATGATCGTTGTTTAGTACTACAACATCGCTTTGGTAGCACCTCCTGGTATTTTGAAGGTCGTTAACTCTATTAAAGAAGAACATTGAGCTCATGATGCTAGTGAGATTTGATAAGCTCTCATCATAATTACTATCTATCCGAGGTGCCAAGAATTATTGTTGTTCATGAATACCGTGAGGTATCTACACTTGCGCGACAAGGGGAACATCTTATAGCAGGCAGCGCAAAGTGTGATAATAACATCAAATGCATTCATTGTAGATAAAGCAGGTAATGTATGACTGGTTACTTAAACAGCTGGTGGAACTTGCATCTTTGACAACCGATCTTAAGTAATCACTGCTTACATAGGCATGATCGATATGTTCAGCTGTCTTTTTAGAGACAACGGTACCCATACTCGGTTCGGTGAGTTCAGCCATGGGCCCGGTTGATTGGGTAGCTTTTGTCCACATCTGACCACATCTTGGCGAGGCCTGCAATGGTGTGATGTATCAACTCTGGCTGCACCGTTGACGCTCTATGGAAAGTACTTTGCCCGTTCAGTGGACTGAGCGTAATGCATTACCTGGCAACACACACATTCACATCTCGTGCGTGGGCTACAAATCGTTCAGCTCACACGCACTAGGTGTTCCTAATGGCCGACGGGGAATGAGCTTTATCTCGCGCGAACTCAATTATGACGGCAATTGCTTCCGTGGATGCGCGGGTCTGCGAGTGAGCGTGATTAAACTTCAATGCATTTCAGCTCCCCTAATGCGCCACACTTCCGCTGGCTGTCGGCGTGCGTCACCAGGCAGAGCCGTGCCCCAGCCGGCGGCGCTGCGCTCATCCTTCGCCCACTCCGGCTGCCGCAGGCATCTACCTGACGGCGGTGATGGCCATCACCTCCGTCTCCATCATCATGACGGTGGTGGTGCTGAATCTGCACTACCGCGGCCCTGCCAAGAAGGAGGTGCCCCGCTGGGTGCGACGTCTTGTGCTCAGAAGGTGGGTGCTGTCGCGCGCGGGCAAAACGCTGTGGGACTGGAGGTCGGCGTCCACGGCAGCCGCTTATGACTGTACGCCTCAATACGCATCCGTCTTATCAACAGTATGCCTCAATACGCATCCGTCTTATCAACAAAGTACATAACGATTCTATGGTCAAAACGTCCGAAATCGCATCATCCAGCGTTCATGACATCTAGCGCAACTACTTCACGGAGCCACAGGGTGTTGTCCCGTACGGACATGAGAAAACAGCGTGAGTTCCACGCTTGTGTCGACTGCGCCACCGCCAACAGCCCCGTCCACAGCTCATACCTGGAGTCTATTGCTAACCATGGCCCGTGAAGCAGCGTGAGTTCCACGCTTGTGTCGACTGCGCCACCGCCAACAGCCCCGTCCACAGCTCATACCTGGAGTCTATTGCTAACCATGGCCCGTGGCCTTCGTGGTCATCGGCTGGTTGCGGCTTCTCTGCGCTGTTGTGTCGCGTTCCCGCTCTCCTCAAATGGTTATTTAGAAGAGAGCCATTGTTCGCACCGGGTGAAAAGGTAGCCGGGTGAAAAGTACCGAGGGGCTGATGTACCAAAAGTGGAGAGTTAGTACCGAGGAAGGAAGGCCCGAACTTGGTGAGCAGTGGGCCAAGGATGCGGTCTTCGGACGTTCGCTGGCTCGGCGGGCAGTGGCTCTACGCTGGACCGTCGCTAGTCGCTGCGTCGCTGCCTCGGCGAGCAGCGTCTCTCTGCTGGACCTTCGCTAGTCGCTGCGTCGCTGGCTCGGTGGGCAGCGGCTCTCTGCTGGACCGTCGCTAGTCGCTGTGTCGCTGGCTCGGTGGGCAGTGGCTCTACGCTGGACCGTCGCTAGTCGCTGCGTCGCTGGCTCGGCGAGCAGCGTCTCTCTGCTGGACCGTCGCTAGTCGCTGCGTCGCTGGCTCGGTGGGCAGGGGCTCTCTGCTGGGCCGTCGCTAGTCGCTGCGTCGCTGCCTCGGCGAGCAGCGTCTCTCTGCTGGACCGTCGCTAGTTGCTGCGTCGCTGGCTCGGTGGGCAGAGGCCCTATGCAGGACCATCGGCAGCCGTGGCGTCGCTGGCTCAGTGGCGACGGCTCCACGCGCGGCCTACGACCTTCGCCGCCCGCAGTGCGGACAATGTGACCTGGGCTATGACCTTCGCTAGCTGCGACGTGCACGAATGGCCTGCGCTGTGGCCAAGCTTCGCCCACTGCCTCGAACGCCCGTGAGATTGGTCTCCTCTCGAGTGTTATTCGTGTCGAACGTCCCTTACACATATGGGTGATATCAGCGTCTACCAGTCAAATGAGGAAAAGGATCTCGTCTGCAGACGCGTCCTAGACACGACTTACACGAAGCCGCTGTATGAGACATGCCGCTGAGCCGCCGTTGCTATGGCAGCGCCCTGATTCGATCAGCGGTTTGAGCCGGCCCTGCCGCCGCCGACAGCCGATCACCGCGCCAGCCTCTCAAAGCCGCAAAACGAACTCAGAAGCAAGAGCAAACACTCGTGCGCTTGTCAGGCGGACGCCGCCCCGGTGGCGGGCCGTCTCGCCGGCTCTGCCGCAAGTTGGCCTCATCGTGGCGGGCGGCGGCAGCGGCGCGGCCGGCGGCGGTAACGACCCCACTAGCGCGGCCATGACGCCGCCCGTCGGCTGTCGTCTCGGCCATTCTCGGCAGACGTGCCCATTGAGCCACTGCACCGGCCACCGCCGCCGCGATCGCCGCGCGTTGTTCGGCCCAGACGACACGACGGCCGCCTCGCTGCCTCTGGGGCGGGCGCCGACCGGTGACGCAGCGTGAGCGACGTGCTGAAAGGAGAGACAACGTTGCGTTCTGACTACTCAGAGAGACACGACGGCAGAGCCTCGCTCCCTCTGGGCGCTGCGGACCGTTCAGGAGAGCGACGTGCAGAGAGCAACGTTGCGTTCGTGACTATGAGGAGGAGGAGGAGAGAGAGAGAGAGCGAGAGAGAGAGAGACTACGAGATATGAGAGCGGTGGAGATAGAGAGAGAGAGAGAGGGAGTGGATGGGAGATAGAGAGAGAGAGAGATAGAGAGATATATATATATATATAATATATATATATATATATATATATATATATATATATATATGTATATATATGTGGGGGGTGGTGGCGGGGTTGTGTATTCATGTCTATTTTTTTTGGAAAAATATTAAGTGCATTGCCGCGAGGTTCTGGAAAGCCTCAGTTAATAATGGCCATGGTAAAGATGGAGGCTGGACCGGATGCAAAGGCGGAGGCTACACCCGCGCAACAGTGGTGTATATATACATTGTTAGTCTCTTTGACTGGGAGTTGACGATAAATCTGAACGGTCTGACTGCCAGTTCAGACATTGTTCCGCGGTGTGCCGCCAAGATTATCCTTGGTTATTATCATGGTCTCAATGCATTGCAGGCTATGCAGGAGGCTATTCTCGTAGTCGTAGTCGGAAGCGACATGGTGAAGCCATTGAATAGGGAACAGCAGAGTGGTGCTTGTGGTAGCTACTTCATGATGTCATCATGCACCTGCTCTTTGCTCCCGTCAGACTCCCGTTTGCAACCGTTTGTTTGGCACTTAAACATCACGCACGATGACGGGAATTATTCATTTAAGACGGTGCTCCATGACACCACACAAACAATGACATGGTTTAGTAGTTCTTAACTTGCACTGCTTCCGAATGAAATGCTTCAATTTTGACTAGTCTCACGCCTTGTACGGTGGAACACAAACGAGATGGAGGAGTCGTACAAGTTTGCAAATGAGATGGTGCGGATGGTACTAAACCTTAGACCGGTATGACCGGACACCCTCGGAAGCTTACCCAAATCGTTGATCAATGCCTGGGGAAGCTTGTCTTCCACGACTGCTTTACTCACTAATCCGTAAGCCAATAGGCTTTAAAATTGGCTGCCTATGGTTCTTGTCGAGCCTGGCAATTTCAGAAGACGATGCGGATGAAGTTATGGCTGATGTACGGCCTTGGCGAATTGAGGAAACATTGATGAAACGCAAACATTTGGGATGCATATTGGCCGCAATGGACTCGACCTGCGTTTATGGAGTGGCATGGCTTGACCATAATCAGTTTGTCCGCATTGTATTATATTTGAGACTGGTTCAAAAGCCTGCGGCATCGGATGCTTTCCGATCGACTGCCATTGCACCCGCGGGCTGGTCACAGGCCACGATGATGGCATCACATGTAAACTTGTAGACGGAACATCCTGTCATGTCTTGCGCTTGGTGCGCGTCGGCATACATTTTTGTCCATTCTCTCCCCAATTCATTCTCTCCCCCTTCCGTCCGTGTCTGGCGTGTCCCTGTGACGCTGCGGCGTGGAGAGCTGGCACAACACAAATTTTACAGAATTGCCTTTTTATTCCTGAAAATTGCATGAGGCTGCGATCATTGGCTTCGTAGAGGCTGGCTTCAAGGAAGAGACCGCACGGTCGTGCTGCTGCGACCCGTCCTTGCCGAAAATGTCCAGCTAATATTATGTTATGGTTCATGGTTTAGTTAACGTTTTGCACGGCCGACGACTCACCTCATGATTAAAGCAGCTACATCTGGCTATCCACACGCTGTCAACACACACGCTACCCAACACCAAGAACGTTACACGTTACACAGGCACTAAACTTATATTTTTAGTCGTATTGGACAGTACATTGACCGCTTAAATCTTTGTGGAAAACTCGTTGACAAAAGCTAAAAATGCAGACAAGAATGTATGGCCTTTGTAGCTGCTTTACAGAGATCACACTGTCGATTCGTCCAGGTCATTCGCTGCAGCGCCCATCGCAGCTGCGATTTTTCACCATCGGATTTTCATCCCCAACGAAATTAACTGCTCCCCTTGCACCCAAAGAAATGAAAATTGCTGCTTCGTTGGACCTTAAGCACGTCGCGCTCAGCCCATCTGAAGTGCAGCGATGACAGAAAAAAAAGTTGTATCAGTTCCACGTTATTGTCACCAGGCACCCGACCGAGGCCAAAATGTGCAACATCCACCATCTTTCTTGCTGTTGACTTGGAGTTAACATGCATCTCCATGTGAAACCTAACCGATGCTCAATGAGGTTTATTGATCACGAAGTGAGCATACAGTGCGCTTGCTCTGGGTGTAATTCCGATTTTTGTCGGCCGTTAGTCCTAATTATCAGCCTTTGCTTCCCGCGGGGGCGACCTGGGTTTGAATCGGATATGGACCCTTAGCGTTAATATCACCGCTGTATTCGCTGGCACTCAATTAAATGGTTGCGATAACGTGCATCGCGTTCCTTTTTACAAAAAAAAAAACACGTATTCGGAATAATGATGCCCAGATCAAATGGAGTAGTTGCAATTGACATGCAGGCCGGTCGACGGTGGGTGTACCCGCACTGTCAGACTCGGTGTTGCATTACATCATAACGATACACACACACACACACACACACACACACACACACACACACACACACACACACACACACACACACACACACACACACACACACACACACACACACACACACACACACACACACACACACACACACACACACACACACACACACACCACACACACACACACACACACACACACACACACACACACACACACACACACACACACACACACACACACACACACACACACACACACACACACACACACCACACACACACACACACACACACACACACACACACACACACACACACACACACACACACACACACACACACACACACACACACACACCACACACACACACACACACACACACACACACACACACACACACACACACACACACACACACACACACACACACACACACACACACACACACACACACACCACACACACACACACACACACACACACACCACACACACACACACACACACACACACACACCATTGCAAAGTCTTGCATACGCCCCTGTTTCATCAGAATTCCCCTCATGAGAAATATTGCATACGTCCACGGT